ACGGACGGACTGACTGACTGACTGACTGACTGACTGACTGACTGATATTATGTGCCATCAAGTTGGTGTTGACTCTTAATGACCACATAGATAGATTTTCTTCAGGAGGATCTGTCCCCAACCTGGTCCTTCAGGTCTTCCAACGGTGCCCTCATCACCGCTGTAACTGAGTTCCTCCACCTTGCAGCTGGTTGTCCTCTTCTTGCCTTTCCTTCCACCTTTCCCAGCATTGTGGACCTCTCAAGAGAGCTGGGTCTTCCCATGGTGTGCCCAAAATATCATTTGAGCCTGGTCATTTGTGTTTCGAGTGAGAACTCTGGATTGAATTGTTTGGTGATCCATTTGTTTGTTTTCATGGCTGTCCGCAGTCTTCTCGGGGTTCTTCTCCCACACCAAATGGTTGGACAAAGTATTTCCTTCTAAGGTTTCATCTATTTTTAACTCTTTATATTCTGCTCTAAAATTTGATCCGATGCCTTGAGTACTGGCCAGAGCAGAGGAGTAGTTATAAAGCAAACCTATAACCTTAATACATTTTTAAAAAGAGAAGATGGTCACCAGCCAGAGGCATCTGCGGATCAAAATGATGACAATAGTGTTGCAATACAAGTGCCACCCCTTTTTATGTGTGTGTGATGTCACCACACCTTCATGAAAGGAGCAGAGCAGCTGCTTTCATCCCTTGCCCCCTCTGCCGCAGCCCTGAAACCAAGTTGGAGATTTATTGATTTATTGATTCAATTGATTAGCCACCCATCTCCCTTTATCCAAGCGATTTTAGGCAGCATACAACAAGGTTAAAAAACAATAAATAAATAAGGTTTCAGGGCAGAAGGCTCTGTGCTAACACAGGCATACCTTTCTGTCACCTCCCCTTTCCAGATGAGGAGATTCCAAGCTCCAAAGATGTGACAGCAGAGACCACCAGCTCCGAAGAGGAGCAGGATCCAAGTAGTTTCCTCCCCAACGGTCGCCCCTTTGCCCAGAACCGGATCAGCGAAAGCTCCATGGATGGCCGAGCTATGAGACGCTCCAGTCAAGGGTCCTTTACCAGGGCCAGCCTGGAAGACCTGCTGAGCGTGGATCCTGAGGCCTATCAAAGTTCCATGTGGCTGGGAACAGAGGATGGTTGGTAAGGAAACCATGCCCTGGAATCTTTCCAGGCCTAGTGCTAATTTTTGCTTGGTGTCCAAATCAGAAAGATCGCTCTCTGCAGGCTCTCTTCCCCATTGGCTGGGCTGCTGTGAGGTCACCAAAGGTTCAATAGCCCTTAAATATGATAATCACTCTCATTGCTTTGGAGCCAATGGGCGATCTTTGTTTAGCTAACTCTGGGGGGTGCTGTTGGGGAAATCTGGATCCAGGATGTAATACAGTTTTGCATCAATCAGTGTGAGGGACTGCAATAGCGCAGCAGCTTCTCAGGAAGGAGGGAGCACGTTCCAGGAACCGGGGGCGAGGCAAGAGACAACACAGTCCGGAGCAGGAGCATGGGAAGAGATTTAGGATAGCCACTCCCTAGAATCTCCCAGGATATATCTGCTAGGTTAGAGTAGTACAGATTTAGTCTGGCAATATTCTGTCTGTATGGTGTAAGCAATAAAAAAACGGGACTTGGCTGGACTGTTTCCCTGTTGTTGTTGGGCTGGGCCTGACACTCAGTTTTGTTAAGCCACCCCAATACCCCTTTCCCTTGTATTGCCTCCAGATCCAGATCTCATGTTTGTTCTGTTTGGATTGCAGCATCCACGTCTATCAGTCTTCAGACAACATTCGCAACAGGAAGAACAGCCTGAAGATGCAGCATTCAGCCTCTGTTACGTGCATTTTGTAAGTCTCAAAGCACATTGGGATGCGCTGACTGCCGACATATACCCAGGCGCATATACCCATCACGCCCTTCCGTTTTGTAATGCAAAGCACAGGAAGGAGTAAGAAATATTAAGGCAAAGAAATTAAGGCAAGAGATAAGAAGGAGAACCAGGAAGTAAGCTAAATTTAGTTTCCACCAATATCATCCATTTTCTCTCCATGTTTTTCCATCCTTGCAAACCATCCTTTTGTATATACCACCTTCTATGTTGGGGGAAAAAATATTCTGCTAAGTGGCCAAGATGGGTGTGGAGAAACAAGCGAAGAGGGGGCAGAAAACAGGATGGGGCCATTTGGAAGAATAGGAGACGTTTTAGCAAGCCCCTGCTTAAAAGAAGTTTGTTTGTTTCAAATGTGTGGTTTATATATTTATTAGATTTTGTACAACTCAAGGTGGCGTACATAATGCTCCTGTCTCCTGTTTTCCCACAACAACAACCCTTGAGATTGGTTGGACTGAGACCGAATGACTGGCCCAGAGTCACCCAGGCAACTCTCATGTCTAAAGCCAGACTAGAACTCACGGTCTCCCAGTTTTTAGTCCAACACCTTCAACACTATGCTAGACCAACTTATATTCTGTGTGGTTTAAGGAAAAGTCTGTTCTTGCCTATACATGGTAAAGGAATGAATGGGAAGATGAGATTGACCTGGTTGTTTATGGTAAAGACCAAGAAAATTAGTGAAGGATGGGGAGTTTAGATGTTTTGAACATGGGACAAGCAATCAGGAGTGGATCTTGGGGGAAAAACGGAGGTGGAAGGAAAAGATAGGTTGCCACGTGACATGATGAGTTCTCCTTCCCATATATCATGAACAGGCTGCCTCTTGGAGTCCAGTGGGCTCCATCTGGAGGTTTTCAAGCCAAGGTTGGACAGCCATTTGTCTGGTATGGTCTGAGGATTACTGCCTTGGGCTGGGGATTGGACTAGAAGACCTTCAAGGTCCCTTCCAACCTTAGGAGTATGATTCTTTGACCTCCAAGGTCCCTTCCAGCCCTAGGAGTCTATGATTCTATGACCTCCAAGGTCCCGTCCAACCCTAGGAGTCTATGATTCTATGACCTCCAAGGTCCCGTCCAACCCTAGGAGTTTATGATTCTATGACCTCCAAGGTCCCTTCCAACCCTAGGAATCTATGATTTATTTCTAGGCCTTTGCAATTTCAGTTGTAGGAGTGGATTAGAACTGATCAGTGGATAAAAGCATTTAAGAATTCAGTCAGGATAACACACCCTGGGCCTAACATTAAACAGGGATGGGTTATCTTTCCACTGCTGTTCTGGCCACATTCTTATCACGTATGGATGGGTTTCCAAGAGGAACCCGTATTGGTCTGATGTAGAGTGTTGTGATTTCTTCCCCCACCCCTCAATATTACTGTAATTTACTGTAGAAGGAAAAATGGGAGGTGGAACAGCATGAACAAGCATGAAGCACCCAGAGTCGTTGGGAATATAAATTTAATAGATAATAATTATTATTATTATTACTACTACTACTAGTATTATTCACCTTGTCCCCTTCCAACTGATTTGGCAAAGTCTCTATTTCCTTTACAGGTATCTTGACAACCAGGTGTTCGTGTCGCTGGCCAATGGAGAGCTGGTTGCCTATCAGAGGGAAGCAGGTAAGACACCTGGATATACACCTGCCACATGAGGACACCCTGCGTTCACTCATGCTTTGGCTCAGAAAGTGGCCAAGGACAGTTTTCTCCCATTTCTCCCACGTTTGCTGAACTACACCTTCCATCATCCCCACTCAGCAAGACACTGGACCATTCTGCTTTCCTTTGCCTGTCTGGGTTGAGAAAGTTGGGAGTTGCAATCCAGCAAATCTGGGGAGCACCAGATGGGAGAATTGGCCCCAAGCAGATGCTCTTGTAAAATTTGGAGCACATGTGAATCCTGCTTGGAGCAAAGGGGATTGGGTAGCCCAGCTGCAGGATTACCTCCAAGATCAGCCCCTCTTGCTGTTTCTTCGGCATGGATTATACCTCCTTAAGTGGTACTAATCCAAGACTGGGGCTGATTCCTAAATAACCCAAATTTAGGGGGAGAGAAGGGATCGTGGCAGCATTCGCACAACACCCTTATGCTCTTACAGGAGGGCCCATCTTCTGGGTTTCCTCAACAGCTTGTGCCACAAAATGACCCAACGAGCTGGGTTTGTACAAAGCTGCGTCCCCAAATGAGCGCAGCAAAGAGGTTGATGCCCCCCAAGCTTAGCATGTTGTGGGAAGGCATCTAGGGAGTATTTGCCAGAACCTGGATGAATGTGTTGCTTGAGTGCAGCCCTCGTGTTGACCAGCAGTCTCCCATTAAGAGGCAAGTGACCACATTCTGCCTCCAGGGAAGAATTAACATGGCTGGCTGGGGAATTCTGGGAGTTGAAGTCCACACATCTTCAAGTTCCCAAGGTTGAGAAACCCTGCTCAAGGGTAAACCACATCATCAGTATAGCAAGGAGTCTTCCATGGAGAAGCAAAATGCAGGTTGCCTGTGTTCTTTCTCTCTTGCAGGGCGTTTTTGGGATTCTCAGAACTCCAAGTCTCTCTTGTTGGGCTCCCCAGGCAGCCCCGTGACCAAGATGGTGGCCGTGGGTGGAAAGCTCTGGTGTGGATGCCAGAACCGAATCATTATCCTCAAGACTTCCACACTGCTGCAGGAGGTACAGAAGGGGCCAACTCCAGCTCCCCCAGCTTCGGCAGACAACTTCTCCTGGGGTTTCATCACCACGTGGACCCCTGCAATCAGATTCCTATGCGTTTTGCAAGGGATCTTGGGAAATCAGGAGATCAGTGGTGATGGGGTTGGAGACTTCAAGCCCATAGCTTACTTAGGGCCTCTAAAATAACCCGAGTTACCCTTTGCTTTCAATCTTGCTCAGCATGCACGTGGAAATCATGACGTTTTTGAGCAGGATTCATCCTCCCATGGCAAGTCTGATGCAAGATCCTGCATGGTTGGTCTGCTGGTGACTATTTTTGGGAAGGGAAAAGAAATGAGAAAGATCTGTCAGTCTGCAAGTGCAAAACCCAACAAGCGAAGGCTTGGAGAGAGAAAAACCTTTACTAAGGCATGGCTGCAGGTTTTGCCCATCCGGAGTCCAAACCAAACTGCGTGTTGTGTTAAACATCTGTTTAAACAAGTAGGCTACAACCAACCATGTTGAGATCAGAGAACAAGAAGCTGCAGGAACTCTTTTGGGGCCCTGCGCATTTTCAGCTGGGAAACGCCCCCACTTCACTTTTTATTTATTATTTTTTGGCGGGGCTGATTTTCAGCGGAAGACTTGCAGGGAGCATGTTCCCAGGGTGAGGTCTGCAGCTGCTCCTCCTCCAGAATAAAAGTGTCCCAATTCAGTGACAAAAAGAGATTGCAGCTTTCAGAGACCAAGAGGGAGTGAGAATTACGACCGGTGAACACTTGCGTAGAAAATGTTCCGTCTATTTCATGTCTGCGGTCCGAGCATCAGCCCATTCATATGGATATATGGCAAAGGAATGAATATAAGAACATGACTGAGTTGGCTGTTTATGAGGAAGGGTTGAAAGAATCAGTGGAGGGGACGAGGGTGATGGGAGGTTCTGAATGTGGGTCAGGCCATGTTTTGGGGTGTCAAGAGCGGTCTTGGGGGGAAAAATTAACATGGAAGAAAAGGAAAGACATGAAAGAAACACGAGCGAAAGTGGAACCTCTCTGGAAAAAGAACCGTACGAAAAGGTATTAGAAGACCGATTAATCTCCAAAGGGAACGAAAGGAAAATGATGCAGAAGCTGCTTGGACAGAGTGAAAACAACGATGGGCCGCTGAAATATGTGAGTTACGCTAATGGGAAGTTTGAAAAAAGTCGCTGACTTCACTCCGCCTGAGCCGTGCAATTTAGTGTGCTTCGTTTTCGCCTTGACAGTGTCACGTTTCCCTTTGTTCAGGCGTGAGTGTCCTTGCGATGCAGGAAATCTCCTCTGCAGTTCCCTTTTTCAGAGGAAGCCGCCACGACAGCAGCTGGCCAGAATCTGGCTACGCCACCCATTTGGATTTCTGCTCTTTTTAAACATTTATTTCTTAGTGATCCTAAAGTGTGATTTGGCCTTTCCACAGCGGCCACCCTGAGGATCAGCATTTTCAGTAAGCCTTCTAAAAGGAGGGGTCCATCCATGGATGCTAGCTGAAGCGACTTGCCAGGCTGAGGGGCAGGACCCAGTGCCCTTGGACCCGCGGTGGGACTCCAGCAGCCCTCCTCAGGGGACCAGACCCCTCGTGAACCCTCTCTCCAGCAGCCCCAAAGCACTCTTGGAAATTGAAATGGTGGCATCTGTGGGAGGCTGTGGTTGATCTGGCTAGTTGCTGTTCCTTCTTGGAGCAGAAGGGCCTCCTGAAGTAGAAGAAGTTTCATCTATGAATGCTCCTCAGATTTTCCCAGATTTGGAGCCAGGCTGTGGGTCCAAAAGCCGTTCAGTTACATCCCATTTGGAAGCTCCTTGGAGGAACCTGGTTGATTGCAAAAGAAAGCGGTCCCCTTCCATCAGGATGACAATTTTTTATACAGCTAATGTGCTTCAGCCCATCCTCCTGCTTCGCATCTCCTTTCCTGGAATAGATTCCCTTTTCCTCTCCTGATTTTACAGGTTCTGCTTCTACTCCATGAGGCTGTCAGAACCCTCTAATACGGTGTTTCTCAACCTCAGCCACTTTAAGAGGCGTGGACTTCAATTCCCAGAAATCCCCAGCC